AGAAAGAAGAAGAAAAGGTAAAGATAAAAATTATGAACAAAGTGATAACAAATACATATCTATCAACAAGTGAATCTAAAAATCAAGTGAATGAAAAACCTGAAGAACAGAATGAACTGTTGATTATAATAGAATCAGGGACATAGAAAGGGAATGGACTGACTATTCTTGGGGGGGTAGGGGGGAAGGAGTGTGGGGGATGCGGGAAGACACTGGACAAAAATCGTACACCTATGAATGAGGACAGTGGGGGGGTAAGGGCAGAGGGTTGGGTGGGAACAAGGTGGAGGGGAGCTATGGGGGGAAAAAGAGGAACAACTGTAATAATCTGAACAATAAAGATCTAATTTTAAAAAATAAAATAACCACACACACACACAAAAATGTAGATCAATCTGCTTCTTAAAGTAGGATTTCCAGCCCTGGCCGAGTAGATTGGTAAGGGTGTCGTCCAGATACGCCAAGATTGTGGGTTCAATCCCCAGACAGGGCACATTCAAGAATCAACCACACTAGCTGGTTTGGCTCAGTGGATAGAGCATCAGCCTGCAGACAGAAGGGTCCCGGTTCGATTCAGGTCAAGAGCATATGCCCAGGTTGTGACCTCAATCCCCAACAGGGGGTGTGCAGGAGGCAGCTAGTCAATGATTCTCATCATTGATGTTTCTATCTCTCTCTCCCTCTCCCTTCCCCTCTGAAATCAGTAAACATATATTTTTTTAAAAAGCATCAACCAATAAATGCATCTCTCTTTCTCTTCCTCCCCTCCGCCCCCCACCCCATTGCTTCCTCTTGCTCTAAAAATAAACAAATAAAAATTGTTTTCTAAAGTAGGCCTTCCACATAGGCTAATTGCAGAAATCAAGGCCCAGTCAGGGCACATACAAGAATCAACCATGAATGCATAAATAAGTGGAACAATAAATTGATCTTTCTCTCCCTGCCTCTCTCTCCCATCAATAATTTTATTGAGAAAAAAAAAGAAAAGAAAAGAAACCTGCCCCAGTGGTCACAATGGTATGTGGTGGAAGTAGCACCTAAAGCCAGGCTGTCATCACCTGAACTTGTGCAGCCATGCCATAAAGACCAAAAAGCTGTACCTCTTCATAGTAATTCTAATTCCCACAAGTTCAAACTACAGGAAAGCATTTCATTAAGTTGTTAAAGAATGATTAGAAAACAATAATTTGAAGGTTTTAACAGATGCATATCTATAAATATCCACAAAAGATTGATTTCATCGGCCTTATTAGAATAATAAACAGAAGATAATCTCTTTATCACTTAAGCTCTAGAAATTCTCTTCCATACTTACCACTTGACACTTTTTTGTTTTTAATACCTACTTAAATATATATATTATCTTCCAAACCAAGTTTACTCAATTTGTCCTGTCATTTAAGATATGTATGTTTTAACACTTCATTGGCCTACCCCTACATTAAGGAAGAGAAATGGCTGTGGTGATGATAACCCCAAGAATCCTATGGAAGGAACGTGTGGTCAGGAAGGCAGATCCTGCAATTACGAGGCTAAGACCCTGACACTGTTGTTCATATTTGAACCTTTGCTTTCTCCAGGTCATGCTAGTGCCCCTTAAATTCTGCAAAATAGGAATCAGGTCTTCCAGTCCAAAAAAGATGACTACTGTACACAGAGGTAGAAGGGAGAATTTTGCTTTTAAAGATAATATGATAAGGGCTTTTTCAATAAAAGACACACAAGGCAAAGAGCACAGGAGAGGGAGTCTTGGGTTCCCTTTCTGACCCCACACTCCAGCAATGTGACCTTAGACAAGTCCCTTGCCCTCCAGTCTCCCAACTGTTCTAGCGGGTGGGGGGTATAAAATGGCTTAACACATGAAACTGCTTAGCCCAATACCCAATCCATAGGACACACTTAATAAATGTCAGAGAAATGTCAGTAGTTACCTAGGAGAAGTAACGGTGGGGGTGGAGGTGGAGTGTCTTCTGAGCAAGACAAAATTACAAATGCCAATCTGACCCTCTGGACTGAAGTTTAAATGGGACATTCAAAAGACCAACAGTAATCATTCATAGAAATATTGTTAATCCACAGAGTTGTCTTATAACTTCATATGTTTCAATACTTTTTGAGAAACATTTGAAAGTCATAATTCTACAGAATAAGGCTTTCTTTCATACATCAAAAGGTGTAACGTTTTTTAAATTACAATATACTATTGATATGGGCTTTTTTTCCCCTTCAGATAATGTTTCTATCAAAAAGTTGTACCATCAACATAAGTGTAGTTGTAATTTAAGGACAACAATTACAGGAAATGAAAAATCCCTTAAGCTCTCATAAATAGCTTATAAATTATTTGCAAATTTTTAAAAGTTTTTAAAATTCTCTAAATGATGATTTAGTCTATTCACACAAAAAAAATCTACCACCAATTATTCTCTTTACATTATCTATAATAATAAAAGCATAATATGCTAATTAGACTGGACGTCCTTCTGGACAACATTCTGGACGAAGCCAGGGCTGGGAGGGAAGCCTGGTCCCGGGTGATGGAGAGAAGCCGGTGCAGGCAGCTGGGGGAAGAAAGGCCTACTCGTGCACGAATTTCGTGCATTGGGCCTCTAGTTTCTAATAAGTTAGAAAATCTCTCCCTCTCTGAATGCTGACAGACTTTAGTTAAGACCATAGTTTTACTTTGTGCATATGTGTGGCATGGTTTCATTTTTTTAAGGAAAAGTGAGCTAGAATAAAATAATTTAGTTTTCCAGGAAATCTGAGTCAACTGCTGGGCATGCTTGGGGACAGGAGATGCTAATAAAATCAGGTCAGTTCATTGAAGCTGCTGTGGTTGCAATGTGGAGAGATGGCGAAGCAATAATCCTATTGCAAGAAGGAATTAGGGGGTATTAGTACATGCATCCCACTTCGCCATAAGCTGAGAACTGCACTGACCATTTGCTCAGAAGACCTGTTGAAGTGCCACAGGAGGAGGATGCTGCGGCACCACGTAACATTCCCGAATGGAATCTTTACAAATTCTTAACATCCTCCCTGGAAAACGTCCACAGGATCTCACTCACGGTGTGCTCCTAGTTGTGTTTTGTTTTGTTTTCAACACAAACATCCTTCCTAAGAAACCTATAACCCCCTACCACCCAAAACTATTACATGGCATCAGATGATCAATCTTGCCCACCGAATAAAACTCAGAAAGGGAATTCAAACGCCCGATGTACCACACTTCCTTACCTGACGCCGATCAGGTGGGTCCTGCCCCACCTTGCCTGGAACTCTCTCCGCAGAACGCCTGCCAGGGTCCCAGGGCTGGAACGAGAGAGTAAGAGCTGGGGGTGCAGAGAAGAGCAACCCTGACTTCACTACTCCCTCTCGTTCTCCTCCTCCAACTTGTCCCACGTCCCGGGCAAGGGGACAGCCTCGCCAGGTAGCACCACCAGTTCCAGAGTTGGAGGAATCACCCCAAGAAGCTCCTCTGCATCCCTTCTCTGTCACCCCCGGACACGAGCAGGGGAAACGGCATCAGTCCCTTGGGAGAGATCAGGCAGGCAAGAACGGCACGTCCTGCTGATCGCACAGAGGAGGAAAGGATGAAGGCAGTGAGCGAGGTGTAGCAGGAAAAGGACAGCAGCAGCGGAAGGGACACCTCCCCACCGGTGCCTAACTCCAAACCATCTTCGACCAGTTGTCATAGCGCTTTACAACGAACGCTACTGCGCAAGTCCGAGGGCAGAGCCCCGAGGCCTTCTGGGGGCTGTAGTCCAGAGGGGCTGAGGCCGAGGAGGGCGGAAATAGGGATGTTAGGCGGAGCTTGGCATCAGATTTCTACTGGGCGGGGCTGGCAGGAACCCAGGCTCCGGCTCAGCTCATCTGGACCCGCCCCGGCGCTTGTGGGTGGGGCTTCCTGCGGGGGCGGGGCGACCCGGCTTCCACTCGGGGATTCGGGTTCACAGTATCAAAGCCTCGGGGGCGACTTCACCTTTTCCAGCCCACGAGGCTAGGTCGGTGGACTGGGCCGCTGGCGGGGAAGCGGGGCCGGCTCAGTACATACTCACCGTGAAGACCCCGAGGGTGGAAGACCAAGACCTTTGAGGCTGCGGGGCAAGGTGTCTGGGTGTTTTATTTTTTTCCTCCTGGAAAAAGTTATTTGTACATGGCTCCTCGTTACATGTGATAAATATTCTCTTTAGCATATACGTTGGACTGGATTTCCTGGTATCTAGGTATGCAAATGTTCAACTTTATCATTGAACATAACGGTAATACCCAATTTTCAAACTTTTTATGGGCTGTCAACAGACTGTCCTTGGTGCCAATTCAACACCAACAGGAATCCCCTAACTGGGGTGTGATGACGAGGAAACTCGGGGCAAACAGTTGGGCTGTGATAGAGCTCAGCGATGGAACAGCTCAGTGGCGCTACAACTGCACTCTGAAGCCCACAGCTGTGGCGCAGAGGCAGCCCTGGGAGATGCCCAGTGGCATGTCTTCAGCTCCAGCTCAGGGAATGCAGCCCCCAGTGGAAAGGGAACGAGCGTTTCCCAATTCAGAGGGGAGCTGGCTTATAAAGAAGTCCTCTCCCTGGTCCCTGATTGGTCCATCCTCATGCAAATAAGAACTCCGGGGTCTCGCAGTTGGATTTGTCCAAAAAGTAGTATTGTTCACATTGGTCCAAATACAGCTCTGATTGGACAGGGAAATTCTCAGTCTTATCGGCTGAAGCAAGATTCCAGGAACTCCTTTATACAGGCTGGCTCAAGTGCAGGAGGTAGGTCAGCGCTGGAGGCAGGTTCAGCCTAGGCTGCTCCCCGAAGCTGGCTTGCCTGAGAGGTCCTGTTAGAAATAACTGCTAGGCTGGTTTTTTCTGTAGTTTTCTTATTATTTTTTAACCCAATTAGCCAACAGGAGTCCTTTCTTGGTAGGTGACTTCATTGTTAGGGCCCACACATCTTTGCTTTCAAAGTCAGAGTAGGTATATAGCCTGTCATACCAACTTTGAAACTTTTGTTCTTGCTTTTTTCACTAGACTTAACTTACACTTTAAAGTTCCTGACTTTTACCACCAATTCACATTACCAGTAGAAAAATGTAATTCTAAATTATGGCTTTTCTTAAAGATAAAAGAATTTCATGGAAAGCATTAATTTCTAATACTTTGATATTAAACCATCACAACATTGAATGTAATAAATAAAATGAAAATTACTTGGACCACCAATAATAAAAGCTTAGGCAAAGTACTACTCCTCAATTAAAATTCAAATGACTGAATTAATTCTATTTGAATAAAGTTCATAACATCAGTGAGAAAAAGTCTTTAAAACCACTTGATTTAATTATTATAAAGAGAAAAACATGGCCCAGCCAGCGTGGCTCAGTGGTTGATTGTGGACCTATAAGCTGGGAGGTCACGGTTCGATTCCTGGTCAGGGCACATGCCCAGGTTGAGGGCTCAATCCCCAGTGTAGGGCATGCCAGGGGCAGCTGATCGATGATTCTCTGTCATCACTGATGTTTCTATCTCTCCCTCTCCCTTCCTCTCAGAAATCAATTAAAAAAACATTTTTTTATAAAAAAGGAAAACAAAAAGTATGGAATAATACTGGAAGGAATTTTCACAAAAATATTTATAGGACTATTATTAAGTGGGCCTTCTTCTCCTTAACTATAAAATCAGGATGATTGACCAATGTTACATCAAAAATGGAGATAATATGTAAGGGCAGTAAACAGTACTTAAGTTTTCAAAAATTAAAACAATTCTTATTAAGAGCTTAACTCCATGAGCAGGACATAAAAAGCCCTCAATGTATATTAGCTTTTCATTTTCAGTGCCCAAACCTTGTCTATGTACAATAAACACTATGTTTCGACCAGGGATCGCATACTAGAGAATTCCTATGGAGAACCTTCCTTTCTTCAAAACTGGATGGATCCTGTCACTTGTACCGAGCACCTCCTGCCTAGCCACTGGGAGACGCAAAGACGACCTGCACAGGAGCCCCGGCCTCCAGGTTCAGGACGCGGAGAGGGAAGGCGCCCCACAGGTGAGTCTGCTGGCGGCAGGCAAGGGCGCCCAGGAGCGCAGCCCGAG